GCAATTTTAAAAACCAGCCCCCCTGCCAGCCCGGCTGCCTGTTGCTCTGCGCTGCTTCCCCTGATATGAAGGCAGCAGCGCAGGGTGGCAGCAGCCCCTGTTTTGTTTTTTTGTTTTGTTTTTTTTAGGGGGGGGGAGCGCGGGAAGGCAGGAGACCAGGGAGAGGAAGGGCCCCGTTCATAACTGCGGATCTAACATAAGTCGGATCCGCGTAACTCGGGGACTGCCTGTATAAGTTCTTTGAGATGTGTGGTTTCTATCTGTATGCTGCTACCTGACATCCTTCCCCCTCTGCTTTGAATTTGACTACACTGTGGTGCAAGGAGAAACTGAAGTGGCATGATCCTGCACTGCTCATTATGCCCTTGGTTGGGAGCACAAAGAGATGTACCGGGCACGTGTAGGTCAACCCACACTGCTTGGAGAAAACTTTGACTTTTAAAGTAAGTTGATTTTTGTGAAGTAAACGGTGTTCTTCAAAACTCTTTTTAATGTTCTTGGTGATTTTTATATTGGATTCTTAATAAATGCAACACACATACTTTCATTTTTGTTCAAAAACTGCTGAACTTACAGTAAGTTCAGAAGTCTACCCCCTGCCTTGATATTGCCACTAAGGTAATATAAAATGTTCTCAGATACCAAGACTTCTAAGACCTTAACAGTAAAACACTTGTTACCCAAGTGATATTTAGATACATGTAAAATGCATTTGTAACTTCACGTTTATATTTATCTTCCAGAAATATTCATATTTTAAAACAACAATTAAGTGGATTGTGGGAACAAGAAAATCATTTAACTCTGGTTCCGGGATATACTGGTAATGTAGCTAAGGTAATTTGTTTCCAGTGATGTTCAGTAATCAGTGTAACACTGAATATCCATTTAACTTAACATCAGATTTGCATACAACCAGCAAGTGTTGAAGGATATAGAATCTTTTGGAAATATTTTTCATGTAATGGTCTTATAAATCAGAGTTATTTTGGAGAATTCTCAATCTGCTTTACAGTTTCATCTAACTTGGGGACCTAGTTTGCCTTTCTCATAAAAATGTTTATTAAATAAACACACATGCCTCCCAAATATGGAAAGGAAGCAGATATATAAAATTTGTTTTGATACTAGTAAGATACTTGGATATTATGAGGACAGTATAAAAATCCTAGGTAACTAGTGCAGTGACAGGCCCACTGAGGGGACAAGTGCCTGAGCATCCATTTCTGGAGGTACTACTTCCACTCAGAACTGTAGAATCATGGACTCCTCCCACAAACCAGTTTGAATCCCATAGGGCTGCCTTAGCCAGAGCCCTCTTCCCGGGAGAGCTCTGACATGGCTCAAGTATGGTAAAGAAGGGAGGATAGGCATTGGCTCAGCTGCATGGTTTGACCAGTGGAGTGAAGGAGAGGTTCCTGAGCCCAAGAAAGCGAGTAAAAGAATAAACTTGGGAGGGAAGAAATTTTGCACCGACTAGAAATGCATGTATTGCTTACCCAACCTACCCACCCACTTTTCACCAGCTGCCTGCTCCTTGAAGTGGGAAAAAATGGAGATGCAGTGGCTTTTTACAAAAGAATGTGTATCTTATTGTAAGGGAATGGTGTTGATGTTTGCTTGTAATCAGGACCCTTGTAGAATTAATCTGCCATAAAATTACTCCAAAATCCCAAATTTCTTTTTAAAAACCAAAAAACCTCAGGGTTTCCAAAATTATCTTGGTAACTAAGTACCAGAGCATAAATCAATACAGTGTTGTCTTCATAACTCTACAGATACCCCAAAGCTATTAGGTTATGACCTACTTCAATAGCTTTTGAACTCTACAATTCCATAACTTGTTGTTTTGTGGTATCCAGACTCCTGATATGTTGTCCTACTGCCCTGCTGGGACCTGTCTATAGCTGTACTCCATCTTTCCCCCCTGAAGAGTACATGTTCCCAGCAGCAAGAGGTCAGCGAGGAAGAACTGGAGTCCATATTTCAGCCATGTAGTGGTGGGAGACCCCAAAAAAAAAATTAGATGCTATCTGAAGAGTAGCTCAACAACCAAAGCCCAGAGATTAGGCCATTGTAGCTTGATACAAACATGCCCCCTTTCTGTGCCATGTACGGGGAGAAGGAAGTTCTTAGCCCACTTGTACAATGCTGGGGGGCAGATAACCAGAGAGTGGAGGCCAAGATGCTTGGAGGGCATAAAAGAAAGAAAAATTGTTGAAAATCAAGTAATTTTAACTCATGAGTATTTGCAGTTGTGTGCCATGGTGTGTGTAGGGGGGGGGAAGGGGGGCTTGAGGGAGGTGAAATTGATGTTGCTGTAGAATTTGGTCTCAACCTGCTTGTGGGGAGGGAAGGGGGGCTTGAGGGAGGTGAACAGACAAAATTGATGTTGCTGTAGAATTTGGTCTCAACCTGCTTTTCAGCAGACAAGGTCCTACCTGTACTTAAGTTGGAAATAGTAGGGCCCTAGTTTATGACTTGTACTTGTTCTGTGTTAGTACAGGACCTTGCACACCGGGATTCTGGTCCCTGACTTAGGCTCTTAGGTGCAATTGCAGTGCACACTACAATATCTTTGTGGAATACTTTTGAAATTATTACAATATGCATCCTACCTCATACATTCTTTATTTCAGCACTAAATGTGACAATTTTATTTTTTTTGATTTTTAGGATGTAGGTGCTTATTTATTACAGCTACACTGAGATGTTTGGAGAACTGAGGCATGCTTATGTGGCTTACATTTTAGAAATATATAAATCCAGGGATTTTTCAAGGATTATGCATCTCTTCTGAGAACTGTTGGCAGAAGAGGAATGGACCTTCAAAAACTGTTTAATGAAACCACTAACAAAATCTTAACAATCTACTTCACATTGAAGTGGAAAAATGCCTAATAGGAGCAGCTTTTACTTCAGTGAGGTGAAAGTGCACTATGAAAACTATATGCCTTTGCTGTATTTGGGATTTGTTCAGTTATTTGGTAAAGTCATTTAAGTGCTGCTTGTTTCACTACAATATGGCATAAAGGAATATAAATTCTACCATCATGAAGACACAACTGCAGAACCAGTTATAAGGAACCATCAAGACCAAGCGCCATAAGATTTTAAACTGTTTCACAAGAAAAGTCAGATGTGCAACTGTTTCTCAGTTACATTGAAAAATTGAAATGTTTTAGTATCTTTTAATCAAAATATTAAAAATGTTTTTGTTTGCACTATTGAGAAACTTTATACAGCAGGATGCCTTAATTTCTGATGTTTGACACAGCCAATTTATTAATATACAAAATATATCTATGGAAATCAACAAATCAAGACATGATAAACTGCTATGAAAATCAGGGGTTCACAATATATAAAACATTTGTGAAGCATTTGCACACTTTTAAAAAAATCAGTATATCCACAATATCTGTTCTGTGGAGAATTCAGATGTGTAGGACACAACTTGTGCATAAAATACCTGAATCTGTTTGGATAAATGCTTATTGCAAAAGTCAGACTGGTGAATTTATACAGACAACACTTTTTTTTTTATTGTATGTGGATTTGTAATATATTAATCTTCAGTTCTGTATCATTTAAACTACACAGATGAGTAAATGTTTCTACTGGCTTTTCCTTTTGAAGCTCAGATAATTTTACCTGTTACTGCTTTTTTTTCCCCTCAAACACCTTTTTCCACACTACTTTTTATTATGGATGTTTGTATCTACTGCTCTACAAATGTTTACAGCCAGAATAGACATGTATTTTTTTCAGATCTAACCACTCATAGGCTACCTCCTCTAACAAAAGTTAACACATGGCTTTTACAAACTTAGTTGTTTAAACATGTGCTTTTTTCCTGATTTAATTAAGATATATTCAAGCTACCTTCAATCTAAAGAGATTCACAATGGAACAAATTCAGTAGCACAGTTTACAGCTATATTTTTCTTATTAATTGTGATATTTTTGTTTAACTGCTATAACTTAATAGCTATGGAAAATTTGGGGTTTTTTAGACTGGCAACTTTCTTTTGTGTTGTGACTAGTTGAAAATGCTTGTCCAAATAAAATTCTATGAAGTACCAACCTCACACTTAAAACAGAAGCTGAACTGTAGCTCTGTATCACATACCTAGCCACTGACTCTGTTGTTTTTTAATTAAAATTATTATGGAAGTTGTCTTCATGCTTAAATCAGCAATTATAACTACTGTAGCTTCATCGGTGTATTTTTGCAACTATGTACAAAAGGGACCATTGCCAGTCTTTTTTCTCCTGCATGAGTAGGGCTCCTCTACTTTGTAACTGAAACTAGAGTATACATTTTCACCATGAAAGCGTAAGGCTCTAGAATATTACTTCATTTTGAGTTTAATTTGAATTTTATGGTCTCTAATGTTTGAGGGCTAAATAGAAAAGTGTTTGCTCAGTCTAGAGTTTCTTCACATAGGTAAATACTCAACAACTCTATCATCCTAGGGCATGGGCAATTTAGAATAGATTTCAAACCTGACATTGATCTAAGACAACTTCAGGTAAAATTGTGGAAAGTTACATTTTCCTATTAACATCCTGTGATCTTATTTTTATTATTTAAAAGTAGACCTTATTTGGATTTTCTTCCCAAATTAACTTTTTAATTCCATTAGTTACAGTAATTTGAAGAAAGTACAGAAGTTCATTTGAACCAAAGTTCTCTTTTTGCTCTGAGACTTGAGTGCCACCTATCTTCAGAGGTTTATCAAGAACTGTTATTCATGCTCATGTAATTTTGAAACAATACCCTGCTAAAACAAGTCATTTTTGAGTGCATTAATCAGGATTATAGAACATCTTTATAATTTCTCTAAGCATTTGTTTTTGTGCCCTTTACTGTTGCTCTATTATGGATAAAGAGTATTTTCAAATTCCTTTCTTCTGATTTCTTTACTTTGTCTTGCAATTGCTAGAGTTTTTAAATCACTCTGCAAGGGTACTGAGCGCCAAAAGAGATGAAAACTGTCATGTTACACTTGTAGTAAAAGAAAATTGAGCATAACTTCAGTGGGTGGAAGCCTTTCAGAAGCTGACTGGAATAATCACGAAAGTAAAAATGCACATATTTTCCATAGTATCCAGCTTGACTATAGTAACAAAGGTATTAGTTCCAAATGAATGTTGTAGGTGGTCATTGATTTCTCACCAGATTACAGTTAAAAGGACTGTATTCTCTTGTATCCCTTGTGCAAGCAGTAAAGAGAAAACTTGTCTGGATCACCAACTTATGCAAATGACTTGTAAAGAATATGTCTTTCCACCAGAAGTTCTTTCTGCAGCATTTATAAGGGAGTACTGAAATAAAAATGTAGTGTCTTTTTCTCCCTACCTTACCTGAATGAGTGCATTTCTTCATTTGTGACTGTGAGTGAGCTACAAGACTGAGATGAGCAGAATTCTTGGTCATTCGTATCAACAGAATTCTAACCAAAGCTTCATTTATCCAGCAATATATATCTTGACTGCTTTAGAACTACTTGAATGAGATTTTTTTGGTGGTTGTCAGCATCTGCCTGCCATTTGTTTGTTTTTTTACAACTGGCTGGTAATGGGTTATGCTATAATGGAATGTATTGTACTGTCAAATCAAAGTGAAACAGGTAGTAAAGCTGTCAGCATCTGTATAAACAGATTAAAATCTCTATGTAGTGACTGGTTTAATTCTTCAGTTTGAAGAATCATTACTGGACTAATAAATATTTCACTGAGAAAAGAAACTTCCCACCATTCTGTTGCCCACAGTTAATACTTATGTCTACTACAGTGGCTTTTGTGCCATTTCTTTCCCTCACTATCTCATTTTTACTCATGAAAGTTACTCAAGGTGAACTGCCCTTTTCTCTCTTTACATTTTAAGCCTTCATACATTTGCTTTACAGCAAGTGTTTTCTCCTTTGTAAAGCATTCAAGTGCTGGATTAAAGCTGTACATTTTGTTATGCAATGAAAGCATGTATATACTTGAGGATTTGAGACTCCCACACAGACATGTTCTTTGTTTTACATCCGCGAATATGAAATTGAGGCCTGAAACAGAAGGCCTCATTTTGGAGAATGTTCTTTCACTGCAATGTTCACAAAGGGCTTGAGGCTATTGTAGTAAGCATTTTGACATAAACTGCCAAACAGAGCTTACTCATTCTCTAACCTGAAGATGGAGAAGCCCTCAGGCAAATTTTGAACTGTGTAAAACCAACTTCTCAAAAAAACAATTTAAACTGTTGGTATGTGAATTCATGTCTTAACTTTGGTTAGGACTGGGCTTGGGAAAGTGCAAATATTAACAAGGTGGGCACATGGGGGTTAGTGATACTGTAGAACTCATTTTGCAGGAGCTAAGTTAACATATCTCTTTCTAAATATCAATTAGAATAAACTTAGAAGTGGAAAACCCTTATCTCAAAGATAGATTCTTCACCTTAAATCTTGATACCACAGATAAATATTTACTTGTGCTGTTGATATTCCAAACTCTTAAGGCTACATCTACACTGCAAGGATATTGCAAAAAACCTGCAGTGTCTCCATGCCTCAAATGCGCTTTTGCGCAAGTAAATCAGTAAAATAGCAGAAGAGAGGGCTTTTGCCAGTGTAGGTAAACCACCTACAAGGCATAACTCCCTTTTGCGATACAGCTATTGCACAAAAAGGCAAGTGTGAATGCTCGAGAGGGGTTTCTTGTGCAAGAAACCCCTATGGGAAAAAGCACAGGTGCACTGATGGCCATTCTGAATGGCCATCAGAGCTTTCTTGTGCAAGAGCATCCATGCAGTGTGGATGCTCTCTTGCGCAAAGGCACTGATGTGCTTTGAGGTGTGGACATGCTCTTGCGTGAGTTTTTGCACAAAAGGCTTCTTGTGCAAGAAGTCTGCAGTGTAGATGTAGCGTAATAGACTGATTTCTCCAGCCGTGTGTTTGAGGCTGTTTTGACTTGTCCCCTTTTTTATAGTTCTTTTCCATTGTGTCAGCTGCATTCCTTTTGCTTTCAATATTGCACTATTCGGAGAGAAAGATGACCCTAAGAGCAAAGGAGTAAATAAAGACTAGAAGATTCACTTGCTCTGTATTAGTAATTAACGGGCCGAGATTTCAGCTTTGCTTCACACCATATGTATCTAAAAGAGGCCTGCATTTTATTCTGACAATATGAGAGGTCATAAACACTAGTATCAAAAATAGAAAATTGGAAGTGTTAGTAGATATGGTATTTGTTTATGTATTTTTATATCCAGTTATTAATAAATACCCTGACTAAATAATGAGTTAATTTTGTAAAAAATTAGGTAAAAGATAATACAGAAACATGCAAATTAGACCACTGTAAAACTGGCCAACTTCTTCAAATCTAGCTTAGATCTAACCACCTGAAAAGTTTTTTTTTTTTTAACATGTTAGATGTCTTGGTCAGCTTCCTAGTGAACAGTAATCCATATACTAAAATTATTTGACACATTTCACCTTTTTTAGCAATGAGCAACACATATATGAACATGGAGACTTATCTCTTAGACTTAGTTATTCTAGAAAACAACTGAGGGTGCATACGATAGAAATACTTAGACTGGCAATGCTTACGTGGTTCCTGTGTTTTGGATTAGAAAGATTTCTGTTCTGTTATGTTACCTAGGAGACTAAGTCATAAACTATGATCTTATTGTGCTAATCACCTTACAGACAAAAAAGAGGGTCCCTGCCCTGCCAGAATTTCCATGTTAACTTAAAATGAGATCTAATAAATACACATTTGAGAAGTATTTGCCACACTATTAAATCCGCTCCCCAAAAATTCTACATCTGATATTCTACATTTCTACAAGATGTTTACTTGACAATGGTTATATACAAGTAGAGACCTACATGGATACAAAATTTGTATGCATACCTGTGAGGCCTCAACAAGAACTTCTTGTCCAATGCCTTTCTCCTGTCATGATCAGGGAATCTAATGCAAAACACAGGTCATCATGATTGCCAGCCAGCATTGGTTCAGCATGCTCATGAGCCCATCAGCTACCTCTCCCTGGTCCTTTCCCAACTGACTGAAACCTGCTGTTGCAAAAGCACAGTCAACTCGTGCATCCCAATCTTGAGTCTGTCTATCAGCACGGCAGCTCCAAGGCTAAACCTGGAGGAACGCACATGCCGGAAAGTTCTGGAAAATAGAAAGCCATCCACTAGACTGACTTACCTGGCCAAGTGGATAAGGTTTTTCCTTCTTGGAGTGGTTGCTCATGTCCATTCGAATTAGACGTGCGCACTGCATCTTCTAGAGCGTTTTCCCTAGCAGTACCCGTAGCGCTGGCAGGGCGCCCCCTGAAGTGGCGCCGCCATGGCGGGGTATAAGTACCCCTGCTGGCGCTCCCCCACCTCGGTTCCTTCTTACCGCCTGTGACGGTCGTTGGAGCTCTCTCTCTCTCAGAGCAGTTAATAGTTCCTGTTTCTCTTAGTGTTGTAAATAGTTCTAAATAGTTCAAATTAGTTAGATAGTAGCTCTTTGTTTTTTCTTCTCCCCCTGCGGGGGGGAGGAATGCCAGGGCCACAAGGCTTTAAGGCATGCTCTGTGTGCACGAAGTTTATGCCCAAAGGAGACTCACTATAGTTGTCTGAAATGTCTGGGTGAGGGCCACCTAACAGACTCCTGTAAGATCTGCAGGTCATTTAAGCCACGCACTAAGAGGGAGAGGGACTCCTTTTTAAAACTTCTCCTCATGGAGGCAGCTTTCCAACTGGCACCGACTAGACACTCTGCGGTGCACAGTGCACCAGCATCCATGCGCGACGCTCCATCTCGGGAGCGGGCCTCGGTATCGAGGGCTCAGCACCATTCTCACTCCCCGGCGCTGAAGAGATCAAAAACGTCCCATGGTAGGTCTCCGAGCTGCAAGTCCAAGTCGGGCCTACACCGCAGTGCTGAGTCTCCAGTGCACACGTCCTCAACTACCACTGTGCGGCATAAGCGAGCAGAACGACCATCCAGTCCAGGGCAGCTACCCTTGTACTGTCATTCCATGCCGGACACTTTTGAGGCAGCACAAGATCTCTTTAGCCTTACTACCTCCCCTCCGTTGTCAGTTGAGGCGGAGAGGTCGAGGTCGCCTACACCGGAGGCCGTGCTGGCACCGGCTTCGCCTCTGTACCAGCGTGATCGGCTGGCACTGGTCGCTTATGCAGCGGGACCGTCTCCTGTGGGACCAGTACCGCTTGCCTCTACCTCGGTGCTGGTCTTGACACAGGCCGCTAAGCCTCACCCGGCACTCGACTGGGCTCGACCCCCCCTCGATGTTGGGACCTCTTCCAGACCCCCTCTTGGCTGCGCTGGTGCCGTATCACCCACGCCTTGTGGCACCGTCTACGGCACCATCATCGGTACCAGTGCTGAGCAGCTTTCCCAGGGTGCCACCCCAGTCTTCGGCACCAGGCCCTTCAACATCAAGCTCTTCGGCACCGATGCAAATTCCGGCTCTGGGCTCTTCGGCACCGATACAGGTTTTGGCACCATTACAGGCCCTGTGGGCCATGCCGGTACTACCATCGCCAGTACCATCGATCTCTTCGAGGTTTGTCTCGATAACTCTAGCACCTTCATCCCAGCCTGTGGTAGAGTCTGTGGGAACAGTGATGGGGCTGCTGCCAGAATGACAGCCACCTTTGGGGGTTCCACGCCTGCAGCTGGTACAGACTTCGACAGCACAGCCATGTACCGTGTTGGCACCACTACCGGCACTGGGACCTGTCCTCCCGGCACCACAACCAGCACCGGGACCTGTCTTCCCGGAGCCGGCACGCCCTCATTGCACGCATGTGGGCAAACCCGAATCTATGGCCAGGTTTGCCCCTCCATTGGTGGCAGGGCATTCGTCATCTGCGCCTCCCTGGCCTGAGTCTGATTACTCGTTGGATTCTGATGCGGCCTCATTCAGGTCGGAGTCCTTGGGAGCTTCCTCTCATCATAGATCCCGTTCCCGGCACCGGAGTGATGGTTCGCGTGTGCAGCAGACTTGGCCGCCTCAACTGCAATGGCTCTTCTGGATGCCATGGGCATACCGCCAGTGGCAGGGGCCTGTGCCCTCCTCTGTGGTGTCCGGTGTCTCAGGGCACTGAGTGCAACCGTTGGCGTCGCTGTCTCAACCCCCTCCTTGGCCCCAGAGGTCTGTTACTATAGATGTCGCTACAGAGCCGCAAGCCTTGATGCCGCAAGCCTTGATGCCAGAGCCGCTCCCGCAAACGGTGTCGCCTGTCTAGCTGGCTCCTCAACCGGGCCCTTCGCTGGATATAGTACCGATCCAGGAGTCGTCGTCATCTTCGTCTCCTCATGAAGCCTTGGCGGATCCCGCACTGGCGTTGCCTACTATGGATGCTCGAGCGCATCAGAATCTGCTTAGGCGTCTGGCCTCCAATCTGGGTGTCCCATTGGAGCCAGTAGTGGAGGACATGGACCCCATGGTTGACATCCTCTCCGATAATGTGCCCGCCGGCTTGGCTTTGCCACTTAATAAAACCGTGGCCAAGATTACTAACGCCCTGTGGCAGACCCCGGCTTCCCTGACCCCTACCTTTAAAGGGAGTCGAGAGGCGCTATTATGTCCCCCAGTAGGGACACGAACATCTGTACTCCCAACCTGTTCCGGGGTCCTTGGTCATTCAAGCTGCTGCTCAAAAGGAGAGGCTTCCGCAGCCAGGGCCATCCCCGAAGGCTAGGGAGCCCAAACACCTT